TCATAAAGGCTGATTCTGTATGAGGCCACATGCAGTTTTGTCTACACAGGGAAGCACTCTTATACACATTCTCTTGTTTAAAATTCACAGCAGCCTTGCAAGGTAGGTAATATCGTGTCATAAATGCATTCACTGAAGCTCAGTGTTTAAGTGACTTTACCCAAGTTCATACATTTACATTGAGCTACTGGGAAAGCTGGGCCAGGAGCTAAGCTTTTTGTTAGGATATAGCCGTCACTCCGAAATCCCTTCTAATTTCCAGGTATCTAAGAGTGTAAATAGCTGCCTCAGAAAAATGAAGACCAATAATATAACACTTACATTGATAGTCTGGCACATGATGAATGCTCTCTAAACGTTTTTTGGAAGGAATAATATGCCCTGAGAATTTACTATAGATCCTATAGGTGTAAGGATGGATACAACTCAGCTTATTCCAGGAAGAGAAGGCAGATAGTTAATTGTAAAACAAGCTCAAATAATGTAGCCAAGATCAGAGAGAGGGCAGTTGAACACGCTTTGACTGCAGAAGTAAATTAAAGTGCCAGTGAAATAATATTTATCGAGTACCTTACATGGGCCAGGAAATTATGCCAGATTATTTACATATTTGCACCACAGGACTGTGAAATAGGTGGTATTTTCTCCACTTTAAGGTAAAAATACTGTGGCTTAGAGAGGCTGCAGGATTTGCTGAGGAGTAGGCCTGGGATAACATAACACTGCTGCATGGAACTAGGCCTAGGTTCAGCTGGTAGCTATGAGGTTTGGGCAAATCCTCCTAATTTCTGGCTTTCAGTTTCCTTCTTGATCAAATGGAAATAATAATTTTGTCATTTCAATTTTATCTTCTAAGTTTATTTAGAGGCTAAAATAAAGGACATGAAATTGAGGTATAGATTATATCTGTGGTTTAGCAAAATTATCTTTGACTAGCAGTTCCACTTCTAAGATTGTTTCTGAGGAAATAAGCAGGAAATTGAACAGTATTTATGTAAAGAAATAGTCATTGTGGTTTAATCTCTCTATATAAAAGCCTAAGTGACCAAATGCCGGTCACTATGTCACACACTGACCACCAGGGGGCAGACACCACCTGGTAGTCAGTGCACTCTCACAGTCAACCTCCCATTGCCCCATTGGTCCGATCACTGGCCAGGCTGAGGGACCCCACCCGTTAACAAATTCATGCACCGGGCCTCTAGTTTGTAATAATTAAGAATATAAAAATAACAAATATACAACATTAAAGAACTGGTCATATGACACATCCTTAGATGTAGTATAATGTAGTAGCCAATTGAAATAATATTTATGAAGAGTTTTAAAAGTCTAGTAAATGATGACAATGTTAAGGGAAAAGGAGCAGGGTACAAAACTAATGAAAATATTATCTTAGCTGTTAAATTGTATATAGAAAATATAAAGTGGAATTTATAGTATGTTATCATTATATACAGATCAAAATATAAACAGACCTCTATGCCTATATTTACAAAGACTCTCTGAAGGATTAATAAATTGGTAATATCTTTGCTGTTGGGAAGAAGAAACAGAGATTGGGAATCACGGGTGGGAGGTTGTTTTTTTAAATTTTTATTTTATTTTATTCTTTTTTCTTTATTGATGAAGGCTGATTCTACACGAGGCCACATGTAGTGGCCTTATCCTTCCCAAAGTGGGAGTTCGTTGTTGTTTGTTTTTTTTCATTGTAAACCTGTAGGTTCCATATTACTTATTTTTACACTAAAAATTAAGAAAATAACGCGAATTGCATATGGTAATAAAGTAGTACTTAGAAATAGTAAGTTTGTTTGAATTATTTTCAATGTGTGTATTATTTTTTAACTTAAATAAGATATAACCTAAAATAGATGGCATTTTATTGCATGAAAAATAAGGGAGGAAATATACTTAACATGTTAACAATGACAGTTTCTGAATGGAGGGGATGTCTGGTCATTTAAAAATTTCCCTTTGGCTGAAACCGGTTTGGCTCAGTGGGTAGAGCGTCAACCTGCCGACTGAAAGGTCCCAGGTTCGACTGAAAGGTCCCAGGTTCGATTCTGGTCAAGGGCAGGTGCCTTGGTTGTAGGCACATCCCTGGTGGGAGATACATCCCCTATGTGGGAGGGGGGAGGGTGGTGGTGCCAGCTGGTCGATGTTTCTAGCTCTCTATCCCTCTCCCTTCCACTCTGTAAAAAATCAATAAAATATATTTTTAAAAATTTCTCTTTATACTTTTAATCTCTTTTCTAAATTTCTACACTTTCCAAATTGGAATTTTCTCTTGTAAATAAAGATGGCTGGCAGCCGAGCAGAGGATAGTGTGAGGGCATTGTGGTTGCTTCCGTTGTTTTAGATAGAAAAAAAGCATAATTTTTTTTCCAATTCTTAAAATAGGTTCTGCATCTTGTAAATGACGTAGTATAATGTAGTAGCCCATTGAAATAATATTTATGAAGACTTTTAAAAGCCTAGTAAAATATGACAATGTTAAGCGAAAACAACAATGAACAACTGAAAAGTTAGGGCTTTGAGGCAGTTTTAGCATCCTTCCCTCCAACCTCACTTTCTTCTTCCATGTCAGTGCTCTGCCTCCAGGTGCCAGGGGTCCAGGGAATGTTCTATGCCTGCTTAGTGAGCCTTGCCATGGAACAGATTGATACAGGAAATGTGGCTGCGGGTCTCAGATAAAGGCTTGAGAGCTGGGAGAAAAGAGAGGAAAGAACAGAGGCCACCACAGGCTAGTGGTGGCATATTTAATGAAGTGTTGTTAAAGGGCTGCTAATAAATTATCCCACGTATTTGTCTGACCTTTCTTCAGGAGAGCTTTAACCTTACAACTCACTGGAGAGGCTCATAGAAATAAATCCACCAGTCTCACTCCCTTTCTTTTCCTTTTCGGGAAGAAGAAAGAGGAATTCCTAAAGAGAGTGACACCTGAACATGACCTCACATTAGGGTTGTCTTCCCACCATCCCCTGACTATTCAGTCAACATGAGTACGCAGCACTGAACAAAAGAAGAGATTACATAGGGAGAAGCTGGGTACCTACAGCTGGTAAGATGTAGAAAAAGCAATTAAACACTCAAAGACAATGGGACCAAGTGCTGGATTATAAAGTTCAGATTCAAGTGTTCAAGAAAAGGGGAGGATGGGTGGAAGGTCTGAGAGGGCTGGGTTCTCAGGGAAGCCCTGGAATGTAATAAATACTTGCGGAATGAGTGAACGAATGAGTCATAAGACAGAGGATCTATGTTTTGAAGGATTTGGAATAAGAATGAGCTATGTTCACACCTGTGTGGAGTTTACCAGTTTATTAAGGTCTTACTCATGGTTATCTTATTTGAGTCCTATAACAGCTCTGTGAGGGAAGCAGGGCAGAAATTGTCCTCCCATTTTTCAGATGATGAGGTTAGGCCCCAGAGTGAGGACATAACTCTTATTAATTCAGGGCACATCATGCTCTGGGCACACATTATTACCTCGTGCTGATCATGTACTAGGACTTGTGCTAGAAGCGAGAGAGGCAGACATGAAGTATTTTAAGTCTCAGATGTTTGGTCTGAAGGAGGAGCTAGAATAATACAGAAAACTGTTCTGAAATGGTAGGAAGTGCTGTCAGAGTGCTCTGGAAGGGTAGGGCAGGAGTGCATGTCCCTTGCATGCACGGGTAGGGGAGACTTCATTGGATCTACAAGGGTGAGCAGGAGTGTATTAGGAGAAGCCTTGTCTAGGCAGAAAGGAAGAATACATGTCTAATGGGACAAAAGCAAGACATATGGCGTGCTTGGAGTAAAGTGTGTAATCTGGTGTAAAGTTGCACAGGTTGGTAGGGAGAAGACTTAGGGGAAGATAAAGTTGAGAGAGTTTATTCGCTGGTTCTTTGTCAAGTTGAACAGGTTTGTCTTGATCTTCAGAGCTGTGAGGTGCCATAAACGGTTTTGTTTCTAAAAAATATATATATATTTTATTGCTTTTTTAAAGAGAGGAAGAGAGAGGGATGGAGAGTTAGAAACATCAATCAGCTGCCTCTTGCACACCTCCTGCCGGGGATGTGCTCACAACCAGGGTACACGCCCTTGACCGGAATCGAACCTGGGACCTTTCAGTCTGCAGGCTGACGCTCTATCCCCTGAGCCAAACCAGTTTCAGCCATAAACGTTTTTGAAATGGAAATGATAGCCTTATATAGGGTCTTTCCTGGAATGTTCATGTATATTCTGTTTTGGCTCTTCCCCCCCCCCCCCCCACTCTATCTCCCCTCCAAAAACAAAACAAAACAAAACAAAACAACAAAACAACAGCAACAAAAAACTCAGCTCAGGAGCTGCCTCCCACAGGGGACTCTCCTTGACCACCAGATTCGATTAGATGCTTCATTTGGGCTTCCTTAGCCAAGACTTTCCTACCACTTTGTTACCATGAGTTTACATGCTTTATTTTTTATTTTTTTAAATATATTTTATTGATTTTTTGCAGAGGAAGGGAGAGGGATAGAGAGTTAGAAACATAGATGAGAGAGAATCATCGATCAGCTGCCTCCTACACATGCCTTACTGGGGATGTGCCCGCAACCAAGGTACATGCCCTTGACAGGGATCGAACCCGGGACCTTTTAGTCCGCAGGCCGACGCTCTATCCATTGAGCCAAACCGGCTTCGGCTGTGCTTTTTTTACTCTAATCTGTGGCCATTCAGAGTGGTAGACACCACGTCTGACTCATATTTGTATTCCCCATGCCCAGCACAGGGTTTGACCCAGAGCAGTGTGCTCAGTAAATATTTGCTGAAAGAATGGATGGGAGGCGCTAGGTTCCACCCAGTCCTGAGACAACACTGGGACAGGTGCAGGGATGGGGTGATTCCGAGGAGTATGTACAATATTTCCTCGGTGATGCTGGGGTGGGGAATGAGTGTGTGAATGGCGGAGTGACCATAAAAAGGTCGGTGACCCTAGAGATGCGTTCCTGAGTGACCACAGGTCTCTCCTGCAGATGGCTTCCGTGACCGACAGTAAAGCCGGGGTCAAAGATGCCTCCGACCAGAATTTTGACTACATGTTTAAACTGCTCATCATCGGCAACAGCAGCGTGGGCAAAACCTCCTTCCTCTTCCGCTATGCTGACGACACCTTCACCCCAGCCTTCGTCAGCACGGTGGGCATCGACTTCAAGGTGAAGACGGTCTACCGCAATGAGAAGCGAGTGAAGCTGCAGATCTGGGTGAGTCCTCGGCGTCTTGGGCAGGATTGTCCTGACAGGGGACTAGTCTGCTGATACCAGGGCTAGGGGATGGGGCCGGTTTGGAACATCTGGGTCTTATAGCATCAGACTCTAATGCTGTTGCTGGTCTTGCCTCTGGAGTGCCCCTTGCTGGTTTTATACAAATTTGCTCTCCTCTGGGGACTCCGTTGTTTCTGCTGCTTAACTACCCAAGAGGCTTTATTCTGGCCCGTATCAATAGTGGCAGAATCTGGGTTTTGGAGCTGGTCTCTACATCGCGGGGCTATGGTTGCTTATATAGTTCCTGGAACATAGTTAACGCACAATAAATGACAGCTATTGTATCCATAATCTTCCACCGCATAACAAATCACTTCAAGACTTGATGACTTAAAACAGCAATAATAATAATTCATTACTGCACAGTGTTTGTGACTTGAACGTTTAAGAGTTTCTGGCTTAGAGCCTCTTAGGAGCTTGCAGCCAGATGTCAGCTTAGATAGCAGTCCTCAGAAGGCTTGAGGGGGGCTGGAGGATTCCTGTCAAAGGTGGCTCACTCACCTGTGTGGTACTGGTTTGTTAGCAGAAGGCCTTAGTTCATTCCCAGCTGGCTCTCTCCACAGAGCTGCTTAAGTCTCTTCATGGCATGGCAGCTGGCTTTCCCCAGTTCTTGGAAAGATCCAAGAAATCAAAGAGGAAGTGGCAATGTCTCTTATTGCTCAGCCTTAAAGTATTCTATTGGTCACTGATTCAATGTAGAAGAAAACTATACAATGGTATGAATCCTGGGAGGTGAGGATCATGGGGGTCTGTCTTGTTAGCTGGCCATCACAGCTACTATTATTGATGCTTACCAGTGATACTAATGATATCTATCTATATCTATATCTATATCTATATCTATATCTATATCTATATCTATATCTATATCTATATCTATATCTATATCTATATCTATATCTATCTATAGTTGAGATGATATAGCCACAGGTAGATAATATACTTTTCAATACTGAATTAGCATTGAGATTAGAAATTTTGAACATCTGTGATTTTAATTATTCAAAGCATGTATTATTTATTATTCAACTTGTTAAATGTACATTAATACATAGTACATATATCTTATTGGTATAGTCTATATACAGTACTTTTCTTCTTATAAATTACTTCAATATATTAATGTTACCTTATAATTAACCTCAAGAAGCAGGTATTATTGTAATACACTCTTATTTTATAGACAGAAAAATATTCAGGAGAATATTAGCTTGCCTTAGGTTGACCACACAGCTATAAAGTGGGATTCCAGCTTAGATCTTCTGAATCTAAATTATGTGCTCTTTCTTCTACACTGTTGAGAAGCACATTAGACCTTATAAAACCTATATTTCCATGTATGACAAAGTTAAGTATTAATTTATATAGAGATAAAAGTTTATTATTTTCACTTTGTCTCTATTAAAAGCATTGAAGAAACATAAATCATTGGAAATGTAAGAAGCTCTACAGACCATTTAGTTAATTGGTTTTAGAAGTGGGGTCTCCAGCCGAAACCGGTTTGGCTCAGTGGATAGAGTGTCAGCCTGCAGACTGAAGGGTCCCTGGTTTGATTCCGATCAAGGGCATGTACATTGGTTGTGGGCACATTCCCAGTGGGGGGCGTGCAGGAGGCAGCTGGTCGATGTTTCTCTCTCATCGATGTTTCTGGCTCTCTATCTCTCTCCCTTCCTCTCTGTAAAAAAAAAAAAAAAAAAAAAAATCAATAAAATATATTTAAAAAAAAGAACTGGGGTCTCTAGATCAACAGCGTCAGCATCATCTGGGAATTTGTTAGAAATGCAGATTCTCGAGCCCCTCTTCTCATCCACTGTATCTGAAACTGGGGTATGGCCCAATAATCTATATAGTAAAAGCCTAAGCGACCATTATGACAAATGACCAGAATGACCAGTCGCTATGATGCTCACTGACCACAAGGGGGCAGATGCTCAATGCAGGAGCTGCCTCCTGGTTGTCAGTGTGCTCTCACAGGGGACGCACCACTCAGCCGGAAGCGGGGCTCATGGCTAGCAAGTGTAGTGGCGGTGGCAGCAGCCTCTCCCACATCCACAGCAATGCTAAGGAGCAAGGAGCTGAGCAGTAAGGAGCAGTGAGCTGGGCGGTAAGGAGAGAAGGGTCCCGGACTATGAGAGGGATGTCCGACTGCTGGCTTAGGCAGACATCCCCTGAGGGGTCCCGAACTGAGAGATGGCACAGGCTGGGCTGAGGGACCCCTACTTTCCAGTGCACGAATTTCATGCACGAGGACTCTAGTCTGTGTTATAACAAGCCTTCCAGGTGGTTTTTAAGGCAGGCTAAAATTGAAGAACCGCTGATCTAGTTTACCTCATGGGGAGAATCAATAAGCATTTATTAAGTACCTATTACGTGCCAAGTGCTTCCGCTATGTTATCTGACATTTCCTTTGCAGCCAACACACGGCAGGGTGGGGTGTGTGAGGACACAGGATGTTTGGGGCATGGTGAGCAAGGCAGTTTAACGAGAGCAAGACTTTGAAAGAGCAGGGGTGGGGTTAAATTTTCTGGGGAGGCTATCAGACGGCACAACAAACAGAATAGTTCTTGCCCTGGGTCAGAGGGTAAATGCTTGATGAATCCTTAGGGAGCTGAAGAACCCACTAGAGTTTACTTTGCCTGTGAAGAGCAAGTAAAAGATACTAACATTTACTCTATAGATTGACAAAGATGTCTTCATCTGATCTCCACTTTAGACAGTCACATAGTCTACACACAAAAAACCTTTAGGTAGGAATAGACATTCTGCCCTTCTAAGGGGTTGGCAGTGGGGGCTCCCTCACGCTTCATTCATTTTTAGTCCATCGCGAGCTTTTGCCGTTTTCCTGTGCCTGGTTAAGTGGGTTTATTGATTATACTGCCTAATTTTAACTAAATGGACCCACAATGGATATGTGGCTTTAGAACAGTCCTGCAAAGAAGCCTCTGGTTGAAGACTGCACTAATTATAGTGAGCCCACAGGAGCACAGAAAATGGCTGAAGTGATATTTCTCTGACTCAAGTTCATTGTCAGCCATGTTTTGAGGTAAAATCAGTGATGATCTAATTAGATGTGACATGGTCAATCACATTGCTTTTGCTAAAACACTCTCTCTCTCTCACACACACACACACAAAACGAGGATGCATATGTGCTTTTCTGTAAAAACATTTTCTGAACTGTTCATAAATACACTAAAATTTAAACATTTAAATAGTATTTATGTCATTGTATGTATTTTAACATCTTTTGTGTACAGTAGAAGTATATATGTGTAATTTAAGTAAATGTACAAATATTGTGGGTGCTGTGCCTACGTTTTTCTTACTTAATAGGGGTATAAATTTGGAGACAATTACCATAGGCATTGGGAAGCCATAGGTGGGTTTTGAAAGGTTAGATTTGCATTTTAGAAAAATCTCTGGTTTCAGTTTGGAAGGTAGACGGGAGGGAAGCAAAGAAACTAGTGGTTTAGATAAGTCGTACGGGCTGGAGCTAAGTCTGTTAGCTTCCTTGGGCTGCCATAACAAAAACACACAGAGTAGATGGCTTAGACAACAGAGATTTATCTTCTCACGGTTCTGGAGACTGGGAGTCCAACATCATGGTGCCAGCAGGGTTGATGCCTGGCAAGAGGACAGCTGCCTTCTTGCTGTGTGCTCACGTGGTCTTTCCTTGGTGTGTACCCACGGAGAGAGGGAAGGAGGGAGCTCTTCCTTTAAGGACACTAATCCTATTAGGTCAGGGCCCTGACTTTATGACCTCAGTTAACCTTCATTACTTCCTTAGAGTACCTATCTCCAACTATAGCCACACTATATGTGAATTTAATATGTGAATTTTGGCAAGATACAAACATTTGGTACATAATACTAAGATAAAAATGACATAAGAGTTGGAAGTGAGGATAGAGATTTAGTAATAGAATTTAAGGAATTTGATGATTAATTAATTGTATAGGGAGAGAAAGAAATACCTACTCATCTATATTTACTTTTGTGAACAAAATTTCTTTTTTTAAAATGTATTTTATTGATTTTGTACAGAGAGGAAGGGAGAGAGATAGAGAGCTAGAAACATCGATGAGAGAGAGTCATCGATCAGCTGCCTCTTGCACACGCCCCACTGGGGATATGCCCGCAACCAAGGTACATGCCCTTGACCGGAATCGAACCTGGGACCCTTTAGTCCGCAGGCTGACGCTCTATCCACCTAACCAAACCGGTTTCGGCGTAAACAAAATTTCTATAATTTTTTTTAAAGTAGTGTGAGCTTTGGTAAGTTGCTTCACTCTGTGAATAAACATCATCTTCAGCGGTAAAAGCCTGACAGGCTTGCTGGGGGATCTAAATGTGGTAGCAGTATTAGGAACACAATAAAATTTAGGTTCCTTTCTTTCTCTGCTCTTGATCCACATGCAAAGGGTGACTGGGCCGCTCCCAAGGTTTCCCAATGTGGCTCCAGGAGTGCTGGAACAGCATTCAGGGACTCACTAGCACAGCATGAAACATTCATTTAAGTTTCTCCAGCCCATTTGGTCTCTCCCAAGGGATTTCAGAAAACCATTGTCAGGGTGGAAGGTGGAGAGGGACAAAGAAGAGGCATGAGTGTCGTTGAGCAGGACCATTCACAAAAGATGTTCCTATCCTATCTGGGTGATGAAGCCATTGGATAGTGCCTTGTTCTTTGGGATGTCTCCCCATCTAGGTTCCCGAGAGCCCCCCCTGTATCCTGGGAGTTTAATTATGGTGGATCAGAGGAGATAATTATACTGGGGAGGTGGAGGTAGGGGAGAAGTCTTATTTATAGCAAACGAGAGCAGGAACAGGTGTGAAGGGAGGGAGACTTGGAAGCTCCACAGCAACAAACCTGACTAGAGGCCACTTACTGCTGGGTGCTGGTTGCCAAGCAACCCCTGGAGACCTGTGGGAAGAGAAGAGCG